GATATTCTCCCAGTATGGCCCTCGCGCTTGGTTAATAAGATATATTTATGCATCATATGTGATGTGTGTATACTAATTGATAGTATCAGTCATATAGGCATAATTTCAGCATTTGTGCATTTGGCCTAGTTAACATTTTTTTTTTATGAAATCATTTAACCAATGGCTAGTTTATTTAATTTGCAACTTTGCCATAGTTTTGATTAATTGATAATAGGATTTCATTTTATCCAATTCAGTGAGTAATTGCACTCATGATTAATGAACTGGACCTGCAGTCATCCGAGTTTGTTAATCACTTGTATGATTACAGACCTAATAATATACATGAAAAAATTTCTCAGTTCTGATTGGTTAAGATGATCAATTCAGTTTTCAGTTAATTTAGTGCAGAAGAGAGTTAATTCAGTGCAGAAGAGGGTTAATTCAGTGCAAAGAAAGAAACAAACCAGACATTCTGATTGGTCAGAATGATTGGTGAATGTCAAGGTCAATGTCAAGGTCAAGATCAATGTCAAGGTCAATGTCACTTGTAGGGTTTGAATAAATTATTTTTGCACGTTATGCACGTGCTTTTCTTCTGCGTAGTTATGAGAAGCTACCTGGTATTTTTTCATGTATATTAATTATTAACAGGTAATCACATGATTTTCTCGTGCAATTTAGAATAAATAAGCACTTGTAAATTTTTTCAAAGACCACAAATTGCACTCGCCCTACGGGCTCATGCAATTTTGTTAGTCTTTGAAAAAATTTACTTGCAGTGCTTATTTATTCCAAATTGCACTCAGAATCATGTGATTACCTGTACAAATTGAACTTCTCTTGGTTCTATTACCATATTATTTATAAATTCAACAAAAAGCTGGTGCAATAGACCTCAGCTCAAGGCACCAGTGAATATTAACTAATACAGTTTGAAGGATTTGAACTCCACAACCTCTTTGTTATGTCTGTCATGATTTTATCTTGAATTTTGAGATGTTAAGATTGGCTGAGTAGGTTTGTGTTTGCATGGTAATATGACTGCCAGTTGGAGTACACAGTCAAGTCTGTTATGTTATCATATTTTGTCAGGACTCAGAAGTGGAAGAAAGCTCAAATATCAAGTCTCCTCCCACGCCATCAATGAGTGATGTTGATGATGGAGAAGAAGTGGTGAGCACTCTTTAATTATAAACTGACTGTTTGTTCTTAACACTTTAACTCCCAGGGGTGAGCAAGGCAGAATTTTTTCTTTACTATATCAATACAATCCTATTTGTGCACGATCCTCGCAGTAACTGAGCACTATTTAAGCAATAGTGAAAATCAGACTTGAAAAAATTCATGCCTGTATGGGATTCGAACCTTACGGGTTTATTTCAGACCAATTTATTGACCTGCTCCCAGTTGGCTTGTTAGCTCACTAGGTTAAGAGTGCTACACTTGTATTGCAGAGGTCAGTGATTTAAATCCGTACAGGCCTGAATTTTTTCAGGTTTGATTTTCACTATTGCTTATTTAATAGTTCTCAGTTACTGCGAGGATCGTGCACAAATACGTTTCTATAACCGCAGTTCAGATATATGGATTTCATACATTCGTTGTGTTTATATCAATACAATATCAAGCAGACAAATGATGACAATAAAGAAATGTATAAGCTAGGGGAGTATTAGTCGGTGTAATGACAAATTCTTCAAACTTGGATCATAAGAATTGTATGACAGACACAGTTACAAGAAATCTATGACAGAGTGCGGATGATTTATGTGGAGATTAAGGGAAAAGACTTAATAATAATAATAATAACAATAATAATAATGATAAAAGCAGAGGTGCGGTAATGAGTGTTTTTTTGGGGGGGTTAGATGGGGGGGAATGCAAGTGTTTGAGGTAGGAGCTTTGATCCTTTCTTGAGGGAATAAATCCCCTCCTAAACAAAACTTCTTTTATGCCCCCCCTGCCCCCCGCCTCCCTGCCCTCCCCGCCCCACTTACATGTAGTCCCTCAGCTCCACTATCCTGGACAGAGATAATGAAACTTATTCTTTTTTGTTGATGTCTCACTCAAAGCTTTCAAATTGAAATAGTAACCTTGTAGATACAAGAGGAAGGATGCTTGAGGAATCCTTTGTAAAATTTAGCCAGTGTTTCCAAGACTTTCCTCGGGTCAAAGTAACACGTCTATGTGCGAGACATATGCAACTTTGGAGAGTGCAAAATTTGCTAATAAATAGTGTTATGTCGGTGTACACCATTCAATAATTATTCACATGCAGGTGTAGTGGTCTTTTTGTATCATCATGTTACAACTTTCGGAGTTCAAAAAGTTGAAAATATGAAAGAGGGAAAGAAATTTTAAATGAGTGTTTTGTTCCTGTGCAGGACTTTGGCATCAACAAGACATTGTCTGACAGACTGGAGGGAATGAGTGCAGAGCTTTTAAGTCCAGCACAAAGTGCCACTAAAGCAGAGGTACGTTTATGTATTTGTAATGTTAAAGAGACCAAACAAACTGTGCCAATTTGATCACTACTAAGACATTTTCAACCTAGTCGTCATGCTGTATTTTTTTCCGTGATGTAATGAGCAGTACGTTTGCATTTTGTATTCCCAGGCTCAAGCTAGTGGAGTAGCTGCAGTGAGCAGCAGTGTAAGGACAATGGCTGGAGTGAGGAGTAGTGATATTTTGATTCAAGATCCAAGTCCTTCCAGGTAAACAATGGTGATAACAACAGTAATAAATGGATGATGGCAACTTTCAAAACTATCAACGATAAACGAGACGAGAAGACTCGTCCACCTTCCTTTTTTAAGGTGGAAGCGGCGTGGCTGAGTGGTTAGGGTGCTGGACTTGAAATCCGGTGGCCTGGGTTCAAGTCCTCCACCCTGCCACTCACTGGATTTGTTTTCAGTTGCCCCTGGTTCAACTCTTCGGCAGCGCTCTTTAAATAGCTCACTGGTCGCCTCCTGCCTGTGGGGAGTTTTAAGCAATTAGTTAAAACTACATTGTTTTAGTGGATTTAGTGATTAGTTAATTGCAAATGGGCCCCACAAGCTCATGTAGCTTTAACACTCAACGTTTCAAAATAAAGGCTACCTACCTACCTACTCAACTATCTATCTAGGGGAACAACGTTTGCTATATATCGTCAGACTTAAAGATTGTGCGTGGGTCCATCTTCTTAACTTGTTCTTCTCTGGCCAAACAAAAAGAATCATCCTCTTGCAAAAAGAAGACTGGACACTGTCTTGCCTCCACAAAAGGCCTAAAATTATCGACCGCTTTAGTTTGTTTTTTCTTTTTTTCTCAATTTCTAAGTAATAAGTCCATTCCAATCCGAGGGACTAAAGGTTTAGCCAACTATGACTCCTGAATGTTGGGTTTATTTAACGTTTTGAAGCTTTCTGACAGTTTCTACAGCATGTACATGTAAATGGTTGATCATAATTGTTGTAGGTTTATCCTTTCTTCCCGCCTTCTCCAGCGTTTTCCCTTTCGCACCCCTCCCTCCCTCCCCACCTTTTTCTTTCCCAGTCTCCCCTCGCCTTTTACTCACCCTCTTGCCCCGTTTAGTCTGTTGCCCGAACAGTTGACAGATGCCGAATTATTTTTCTAAGACCTTCCAGGCAGGTGATCCTTACCTTGTGTGTGTGTACATGTTTTTTTTTTTTCTCAGTAACAAGGAGAGTGGTGTAACAACGAACAAGGTGGAAGAAGAGAGGTTACAGAAAGCCACACTACAGGCCGAGGCGGCAGAAAGGTCAGAGTAAGGAAATGTCTGAAAATCCAAGCTGTATCGTCAAGTAAAAGGCCTTTTTGACTCATTGGTTACCAGTGTTTCAACGCTGCAATAATCAGACCGTTATAACAACTTTAACAGTTAGACCTGCTAAGCTGCATGTCTGAAATTAAGTAAGGTCAGATAAGATGGTACATGTAAGTCGCACGAATCTGCAATCCTTTACAGAAGGACATCAGAAAAAAAAAAAAACTGTCGGAATTAACACATTTTTAAACGATTGAGTGTCGTAAAATTAAAACCAAAGTAACAACAGCCGTGAATCAGGGCAAAATAAGGAGCCAATGAGAACTCCAGGTGAAAGCAAGCAAACTGCCTAAAGCGCGGGAAAACACGAGTGACGAAGTTTATAGTTTTGAATCTCATTGGTTGATAAAGTGGGGTGAGTTTTTTTGGACCAATCACAGAGCTAAGTAAAGTAAATACAATGCAATCTGGGATTACTTTCGACACTCAGTTGAAAACTGCTCTAAGCACTAATATTCCACGCCTTGGTGGCTGTTTGGTGTTATAAATGTCCATGTCTTGAATTGCAGAAGAGCATCACATCAGAGGGAACAAGAACAAGCAGAGAATCAAGAAAAAGAAAAGTAAATATAAACTCTCTTTATTTCAAATTTCAAAAGCCTGATTATCCTTTTACAGTGTCTGTAGAAACCATAAGTTTGATGCAGTGCTACCCTGAAAATTTGGTGGTGTAATTGTCAGCACAAATTACGGTGTGTTTTGTAGGCTTGCAAAAGAAGCAGCCAAAGCAATCGAAGACATGAGGAAAGCCACTGAGAAAGAACTGAACGAGGCAAAGCAGAAACTACAGAAAGAGAAAGAAGATGCTCTCAGGAAACTTCAAGAGCAATATAAAAAAGAACAGGACAGTGAGGAAGAACGACTGGCAAAGGAACACGATGCTGTGATGAAAACACTCGGAGAAAAAGCCAGAGAAGACGCTCTAGAGGAGGAAGCCATGTTGCAAGAGGGTAAGCAGGATGCTATGAGGAAACTTAAACAGCAGATACAAAGAGAACAAGAGCAGGAAGAGGCTGAACTGAGAAAGGAAAAGGAAGAGGCCTTGAAAGTACTCAAGGAAGAGCTAGAGGAACATGAGGAACAAGAGAACGACAAGATGGCGGATGAACGAGAGAAGGCCTTACGGAAGATGCGGGAGACATTTGCAGCGGAACTGGAGGAAGAAAAACAGAAGTTAAAAGATAAACAGAGTGAAGTTGTAGATGAGTTAAGGGAGAAATTAGAGAAGGAAAAAGAGATGGTATGTTAAAAGAGAGGCTGTTTTTTTTGTCCTTAAATACTACTCGTCTAATTATCTTCAAAAAATATCCTTCCCTTCTTTGTAAAATGCTACCTGGAGTTTGGTCAAAGGCCTGCGCAAAGCTCCTTTAACTTTTGCCACATCACTATTGCAATTACTATATATATCCTGCAGGCGTTGGAGGAGCTACAACAAAACAAAGAGTACGAACTTCAACAACTGAAAACGGAGTTAGCCGAGAAACATGAGAGAGCGCTGCAGGAGCTGAAGAATGAGCTAGAAGTGGCACAAAACAGCCAATTAAATGCTGCACGTAGATCTGCGGCGGAATCCAAACCTAATTTCACCATGAGTATGGACTCACTAGATGTCGAGGTAAAAGTGATCAGGAATTGTCCCCCCTTTGCATTTTTTTTCCAATAGTTATTGTTGATAGAATTTGAAGGTCAAAAGAAGTTTTTCTTTTATGTCGGAAAAATCACAGATGGCATCTAGTTAACAATTGGTTCATGCTTTCAGCTGTGCACTATCGGGTTATGGAGCACGTGGGAAGTTTGGAGAGCACTCAAGAAGCTAGAGTTGCCCGAGGCGATAGCCGAGGGCAACTCTAGCTTCTTGAGTGCTCTCCAAACTTCCCACGTGCTCCATAACCCGATAGTGCACAGCTGAAAGCATGAACCAATTGTTAACTAGATGCCATCTGTGATTTTTCCGACATAAAAGAAAAACTTCTTTTGACCTTCAAATTCTATCAACAATAACTATTGGAAAAAAAATGCAAAGGGGGGACAATTCCTGATCACTTTTACCTCGACATCTAGTGAGTCCATACTCATGGTGAAATTAGGTTTGGATTCCGCCGCAGATCTACGTGCAGCATTTAATTGGCTGTTTTGTGCCACTTCTAGCTCATTCTTCAGCTCCTGCAGCGCTCTCTCATGTTTCTCGGCTAACTCCGTTTTCAGTTGTTGAAGTTCGTACTC